TTGATGTTTATAAGTGCATCGCTGCTTGCACTTTTTTTATTTATCTTATCAAATGAAATTGGTGATGCACTTGATATAACCTAAACAAAAGAGATTTTTCAGTGAAGGTAATAAGTTTTGTTCTTTTTTTCCCTCTGAAAATCTGATTTTTTTTATATCTGGGGTTCACCTTACAATTTTGTTTCACCCATGCCAATACTTCAGTCAGTGCGCCTGTCAAGTATTCCTGAGAAACCAATAACGCATCCTTCCGATAATGCTTTAATTTAATTTATATCATGCTTATACGGGAAATCAACACGATGCTAAAACAATCATCACCACAAGAAAAACAAATAGGATCTATACTAAGGAACAATTGTGATAAGTGGTGTTAATTCATTGTATAATTGTTGCTAATAAGGCGAGGTATATCAGGATTTCAGCTATAAAGTACATAGTGGGTATAAATGAAACTACGTTGGTGAAACCACCGAATGACAAGTCGACCAACGATACTTGAGTGGCAAACAATTACATACATTCATACAAAGATTATAAAGATTGAATTAAGTAATCTGTATGATTTGGTGTGAATGTAATTATCAATCAGTCAATGATTAATTTAATTTCTGACAAATCTTAAATGAATATGGCTAACTTTATTGTTAGAAATATATGTAACTTTAGGGAAAGACATTATACAGGCTTTGCTTGCAGTCCCGTTTCCATTAAATCAAATTTGTCACTGAAAAATATTTGTGCAAATATGAGATTTTATTTCATATCATGAAACATTTTTCATACCATTTGTATTATCTGACGCATGAATGTAACAAACGAACAAAAATAACCTGAACGATATCCGTCTTAAGAACATACATCCACTATCTTCATATAGGAATTACAAAAAAGCAGCCACCATCATGATTAAATTATATATTGTTTATCATAAAGGAAAGATACGCTTAATGTCTACAAGATTTTATTGATATTGCGTATATATTCCAGATAGCAGCAAACTTTCGTCTTAACAATAACATACTATGCAAATGAATGGAACAACGAAAACGTTTCCTTAGAGTACTAGTATCAAATATTAAAAACATATTCATCTTAGTTCTAGTATCAAATATCTGATAAAGACATATTACGAACAGCATTATTAATTTGTTAGTTCTTTTATGACTTCTTTACTGCTAGGGTCGCATGAATATTTTGTGCACGACTGTTTTTGTCACTGATAGACATGCTTACAGTACCATCATACTGAAATATCAAAACCATATCACAATACTAGAATATCCAATCCGGTCGTATAATACTGTGAAAGAGCTAATAAAAACATAACCGTTGAATGTCGAATGAAGAGTACTATTTTTTAATGTTTGTCCCAGTCAGGACAAATAACCTTCGACCCCTCTCGCTTGAGCAGACACATAAGAAATAAAAAAAACAGTGCAGGAGATGAGGAGATACAAATGTCCAATTTAAGATAGAGATCATAATTGATCTATCAAACACGATATCTACATGTCTATACATTCGAAGATCTATTCGAATACCAAAATGTCCTTATAAATTGTCGACCAGTGACTGATGAGTCTACAACGAAATCTTTCCATTTCTTTTGATCGAATGATACAATATACAACTTGTATAAATATCATAGTTGCCTCATATTATGAAACACTAAAATAGTATGTATCTGTTAAAATAGCTGAAAGTAATTTTGATTACATGTATGGGTTATATGTCTGATAGAATGGCTTTAAAGAGTTCATGTTTTTCTTTTTTAATCACTTTTACAACCAGGAAATTCAAATACTATCATAGCAGTAAATCACGATCTGTATTTTGAAGTGTCTGACACCAATAGACTACAGTCAATCTCTTTTTTCAACTTAACGTTACATCTTCATATACATCTATTCATACTCCTTGGACGTGTTAACAATCATTTTAATATCACTTTTAGTGATACGAAAGGATTAAAACAGTTAAATTGAAGTAAAAATGAAAGTTAAACAGTGTCAAAATAACTCATTTTCGTTAACCCAGATTTATTTGCTACATATATTTCGTCAATATACAAGGGATCTACAACATGGTTTTCGGAACAAATGTGATTTGCTTAACAATCAAGCGCCTATAGTACTTTTAATATGATAATAGCCGACAGAAAACACAAATTATTATGGCATATAAAGGCATCTTTGAAAAATCTGTTCTTCAGAAGCAAATTTTACATACTAGCTGAAGATTATACATGGTTCCAAGATATGCTCTATTTATTGTATTTTTCAATGTAAACGTATATGTATCCTGTATTAACTGAAATATTTATTGGGATAGCATATTGTTATACTTTGTGTGTGTGTGTGTGTGTGTGTGTGTGTTTTTTTTTTTTTTTTTAATACTGTCTTGAACGTGATAAAGAATAGAGAACAATTCAAATGTCATAAAGGGAATACCTAAAATCGAGAAAATACAGATGTGAATTTATAAACATGTGACTAAAGATGACATATAGTTCCTCAGCTGTATCACAAACCCGCATCATTGCAACATTGAAAAACAGAGTTGCGCCCCTTTACATAACACGATATTGTTTGGAGTGACTGTTGAAGTAGTTTGAGAATTATCATCATTTAAACCCAAAACCGATGAAAAATGAGCAAAACATGATCAAAAAGAATGACTGACATGAATACCCTTGAAAAGAATACAACTATAATCATTTCTTTTTTTCATTCTTTTTATTGAATCACTCGGTGACTTCTTGTCATCATATGATAATGTTTGTGTAACATCAATTTAATTAAAAACAATGAATAAAAAATGATCTTTAGATATTAAATTTGGATATACAGTAAAAACAGCATTTCCTTTATATTAGTCATATTTCAGCAATTCCTTATACAGAACCATTCAAATCTGTTATCCAATCTCACATTATTTAAAGTGAAATACTGAAATAAGTAACAGCTTTATCATTTTTGACAATAACATATAAGACTTTAAGGTCATGATTTGGTCGTTTTTTATTTCTATACTTCTTCATTAAAACAATTAAGAACTGCCCATTGTTCTTAATGTAATTACCGGCAAAGTAGTGAGTGGGAAGAAAACGAATGTATCTCTAATTAGGTTACTTGTTATTTGCATCTACGATGCATTTTTTGTGAAAAGTTATTACAACAGAAAAGTGTAGTTGTCTTCTCAATATTTTTGTTCAAATCTTTAAATCGATTAAGAGTTATCTCCACCATTATCTGCCATATGTGAGCTGAGTCGTGCGTTCTCGTCACGGTTCGTTTGCGGTTCTAGCACCCACGGTGGGCAAACTGACCCAGTCGTTATATTTAAATACTTTGAAGACAAAGATAACCAAAAGTAAGCTTCATGTCAAACATGAATTGCTCTACCAAGAAACCCATTTACGTATCTTATATATAGTACCGTTTGGTTAATATTTCACGAAATGTAAAGAGATTAAAAGTATTGAATTATTGAACTAACACAACCCCAAGTATTTAGAAATATAGAAATAAGTTTATCAGATTATAATAACATCTTCTGTTTGTGATATTAGATTGGAGTACTGTAACCTTTTTATACCAGGGCAAACTATAATATCCTTATAAGTTAAGTGATTGAAACTTTGTAAACACATGTTATTAAATTATAAGCCGACAAGTCAACAACAATGAAAAAGAGTAGGTCAGAGAATTTAAAAGTTAGCAAAACCTATATCTAAAAGTACACAGAGTTGTTCCGGAAGCGAAAATATTTCCTTAGATATAGTCTTTGTAACCGCAATAATAAAGTGTTCTTAACTTAACACAATGACCGAATTCAATAATGTATTTATAAACATAATTATGCAGTTTAGAGCAATATTTCTACAGTGTAATTTAGCAATACTACTGATGGTGTATAATTGCAAGATTTTTATATGTCTCTTCAGGGTGCATCTACGAAAAATAATCACAATGCCATGTTTTTACTGTTCATTACCGTAATTGTCCATGCTACAAATTTAGGATTGGGATGCAGATATTTTAATATACCAACAGTATTTCCTTATTTCGTATATATATATATATTGTATCTCGTCAAATGTAAATTCGATGACAATATATACATCAAGCATCAGCGGTTTATGAAAGACATATGCGCTTACATTCATAAAATATCCATTTGAAGTGAATTTCCTTATGGCGCTATGCCTTCAACCATTGAACACTTTTTCATGATAGATAACTCAATCAGATTACAGTGAACGACGACATTACAACACTCATTAGTTAACCAGAAGGGACTACTTATGTAGATTTTAGACACTAGAAATACGATATAGTTTTAAAACTTGCACCGTGTGACAAAGATCATAGAAGAAAAACAAGTTCATTAGCTTACAAACCTATTTCGTCGTCCTTTTGATTAAAATCCTGAAAGGCCGGTTGGTCACAATATGTGTGGGGAGCGGCACGCAGTTTGCTACCCTGTATAGGATAATTTGCATTTTTCTTGTGATTAAAAAGTCTTTAATTTAACATAATGTCAATACTTTTACTTTAATGAATGCTATCAAAAGTATATAAGGATAATATACTGCAAGTAATTATCTGCAAAAATGTTCTTGGACAGTTTGATAATACACTAAGTGCTTATTAAACGCTGCTTAGGACCTCACGGTTATCTTTTAACTATTCATTTATTAAGTGTTTTACATTCTATTCAAAAATACATAAGAAAAAATAAGCATCTTGATCTTTCTTTGTATAGGGAGGAGTTAACACTAAAGGCTCCGCCCACAGTTTCTTGGGCTGGCCAGTCTGATGCATCAGGATGCTGACAGCACGTCATGTTTTCCTCGTAGAAGCACATGGTGTAGTGAGAGGGACCTCCTTTCCTATGTTTGTGGTATCAGTTTCCAGAGCATTTTGACTTACCCGCTGTTGTTTACCCTCATACATGCATTATATAGCGTTGAGTCCTGCCTCTGTGTCTCTTGGTTTTATCAAGCTAAGCCAAGCGGTCTCTTAAAGAGCGATAAATCTGGAGATAAGGCCGAAGCACAGGATCATTAGAAAAGGACCTCCGCTTCATTACTACCCACTCTTGAGGAGCCAGCTCATATGTCTACCCAGGAAACTTGTTACACTTAATCCGGGGCTGTAACTCACAATTGATTGTTCGTTAATACCGAGTAGCTGGTTTGATTTTCTCATTTGTGTGAGAAAATGAGTAGTTATACGTTATCAGCGACATCAGCGGAGCATCAATTTGCGAACAATTTTGACAAAGTTGCCGCATATCAGAACGCTCTACAGAATAACAAGGCCAATTTTTCAGTTAGCCACTTATTAGATTTAGAGGAATTACCAAGTGAAAATTGTGCTATGTACGCGAACACAGATCCTCAACCCGGTCTACCCACACAAGCATGTACCCCAAACCTGAATGGCACCCCGAATGGGGGACTGACAGACCTGGGAGAGGACCCTCCCAGCCCACAGGACAGGAATGGACAAAACCAACAGTCTAAGGATTCACCACAGAGTAAGTGTGACCGTCTGTGTCTATTCTGTCTGATATACCCCAACTTACCGATCGTTTGTCAAAAAATAGTGCCATGCGGGTGGCTTCATTCATGTTTTGTTACTTGCGCACAATTGTTTCTGGTCTCTGTTTTGTATTTATGAAATTATCAGAAACCCGTAAAATTATCCCAACCAAATATTTCATAAATGTTTTAATAATTTTGAAATGTTTTTAACATTCATTATTTTGCTCAATTGTTAATGAAACAAATCATAGTTATATATCTTTATTCGTCGTGACAGATTATTATAGCGATTTCATACTTAAACTTTATAACATTTCTCTAGCAAAGGAAGAAACAGGTTATTCTTAAACATGTCACTGTAACATTGTTTTTCAAGGAAAGGAAATAAATTGCTCATTAATATGATAAGAATGATACATATTTTATTACCTGTATACATAGTTTAATAATTAAATCTTTACATGTGCAGGTGTGACGATACTGTATATATAATTAAACCTTTCCAAGAAACTTATAGGCATACAATATTAACCGGAAATAACTTCAATACAAACGTATAGCAGACTAAAACATTTATATCGGTATATTTATTCTTTTTTACGATTTCTACATGTGTTACGTACATGAGAAAATAACACATTTTTGCGTGGTCGTATATTTGTGCTAGAGAAAGTCGCATTTTATAGAATTAAAACGCTACTTTAATTTCCAAGTTTCAACGATGTATTGATATGTATCATTACAGTGAATAATGACAGGACAACACCATGTTTTAATACCAATTTATACCAATATATCATTTTAGGTTTATTTAGTACATTCACAAACTCCCGTTTTGGCATTATAATACTTAATGACATTATTGCTAACTCTTTAAGATAGCGTCAAAACACACTGATGAAACAATTTTCAGTGCCTTTAATATTTAGAATCAACGGCATAGAGTTTCCCATACTTTGGAAATTTAGGTTTCACCACAGGTTCAAGCCAGTGCATTTCATCGTTTTAAAAACTTTGTTTATTCTTTAACAGTAAATATACTGGAACGTCCGAGTATAACTTAATTAAGTTATTAAAGTGGGCATTTAATAGATATTGATTGTCATGGTTTGTATCTGTTGGGCCCCTGACTAACAGATAATAAACTGTTGGTACAACTCTCGACCCTGGATACAGCGTACATTTTGTGTACCTCAGTATAAACGTTACCACCTCCTCCCGTATGGTGTGTGTGCTTCGTGATGAGAGTCGTCATATACACACAAAATTCTGCCCACGGTCTCTAGTTTCACCTCAACACGTGTTCGCCAACAAATACCAACATTGCTACCGAAAGTTCTTTTATATTCATTCCCTTGCCTTTGCTAACTTGAAGTATTCAGGAGGTAAGGCGAGGAAAACATATCTTGATAAAATGCAATTAATTTTAATCTATGTTTTTAAATTTTGCGGCCAGGTTAAGAGGAAACTGGGGATAAGCACTCATGTTTTAAACGAAGCAAATATCAATTACTTGTATTTAGGAGAAATTCTCCAACATGATTGTAATCATTATATAAGAAGCATTTAAAATAAAACATAATAAACGTCTTCAAATCATGTTATATTTAACTATAGCAATGATAGGCAATTTCAACAGAATATATATACTAACAGCTCATACATTAACACTATTTATACCATTACAATGTGTATACAAATTTCATGAATATAATATGAACGATAAAGGGAGGTAATTTTGATAAATTTTGAAAAATCGATCCTCTAACAAGTATTTGATATTATCGTTTAATAAAAGATATTCGGAGGCCAACACCATGCCAACAGAGAATATCGCATCAGAGTAGGGAAGTTTTTATGGATAATAACGTACATGCCTATTTGTCACTAATGTATGTACAATTATATAGAGCAAAAGGGCGAATTTGAATTCTGAAATGTCTGTTTGAAACCGTTTTTCAGCGACTGTACTTCTTTTATAGCAAAACTAAATGTCTGCCTATGAAAAAAACACGATTGTTTGGTACTGAAAATAATGGTCTAGTTTTCCTGTGGGGCGGCACCACCGTAACAACTGAAACAGAGAAAAGCTACCAAATGGCCATATATATCACTATTATTATGATGGATTTTACTCGCATACCATGTTAACACTTTGCAAATACTTGTTATTATCTTATTAATGTTCACATTATTTGAGTAAAGCCAGCCTGCAAATATAGAGCACTGAATATAACAAGAATATAAGTCAATGAAAATTTAGGGTGAAGTGAATATGTCACACTCACACTGTGTACTAATTCAGTAAAACCATAGAGATAAATTAAAGAAATTATACGTATTTAATTAGCAAAAACATATTCTTTACTAAAAGAAGTTTAAAGTAATTAAATCATAAACTAACATCTAATCATTGTTTAATCAGCTACAGAAATAAACGTGTTGTAAGTAATATAATATGGATGAAATATTCAATCCCCGATTAATAAAAATACAACGTTGCTTGATACCGTATTGTAAATCATTAAGTGTCACATTTATAATGTATTTTGGGCATGGAAAAAGAACTCTAACGGGACAATAAAATGGTTATCAATATGGATCCGTTAGTCTCCGTGGGCTAACAGTAAGCTGACAGATAGAAAAGAGATGGTGTGCTCCCCATACTAAGGTTATGGGAAGACAGAGGTAAATTAGGCATAAAGAGATGCATATATCCACCTGTGGTTTCGACTTATCTATCTGTATACCACTCCCCAGGTACCAGCGAGATCGTTTCGTTACTATTCTTGTTAGTTTAACAAGCCCCATAATTAGAATGACATGTTTAACTACAAACACAATCATAGCAGTTCATCCCTATTTATCACTGTAACATTTCAATTATAAACCAGATAATCAAACATAACACAATTGATAGCTTCACTGTAGTAATATCAAAATTCCGATACAAGACTTTCAGTAGTGCACGAGACTATTCTATAGAAGTAGGATCTGGCTAATACATAAATACTTATCACAGAACACACGCTGACAACCTAAAGATACATTATCATATAATTATTAAAAGGCCAACTTAAAAATCAAATAATTTGTTTAAAACAGCAAGAGAACAATTTCTACACTCAGAGGATATATTTATTGGCTGTGTAGCTCGTCGACATATTCTGTTTTGTGTATTTTTATTTGGTGATCGTTGATAGATAGAACGGTTTAGTACACATACAGCATGCTATCAGGTCGTGGCTTACGATCATATCATCTCACCGAGTACACAGTAGCATACCCCTCCCATCCAATCAATGCTCCTGATGACTCCGGGCTTTAACATCAGACATTTTATACCCAAGAAGTGATGACATATCGCGTACAGGAACCATGGTGATGGTAGACATTCTGTGGCCTCCACATGGAAAATGCAATACACTTATAACCATTCTGTAATCCTCAAATCTGATAACAATTTTTTTAATTTTGAATTTCCAAAGATAATACCGTTTCACTAAACCAAAAATTGAATAAGACTTACCTGGAAATAAAACGGACGAAGAAGATTTTTGTTCGATTTGATATATGAAACTAAAAAAGACAGAAAATAAGAATAAAATATTAATACATGTAAAACAATCTTAATAAAAACACAAAAACCTGTCAGCCATGGCAAAATAAATATTTACAAGAGACTATTTCAAAATTACAAGAAAGCAAATAAGGTTGTTCTGGAAGGGGGACCTTTTCTTTTTTTCTTCATTGACGACAAGTGTCGTGCAAATTTAGGTCTATCCAATCAAGAAACGTCACGTTATGAAATGATAAATAAAATAAGCACATGTTATGGGTATTCTTTGATAGAGTTCCTCAATGAGGTATGAAATAACAGTAAACATGTACCTTTATCGTGGTGAGAATGTGTCGACCAAAATATATACAATAATCATGAAAATTGTATTCGTAAGCGTAGCACAACTGAGATTAATCATAACAAAGAGCTACTTAGGCAATGAGAGACATAACTTATCCATAAATACATGATGTCATCAAGTATTCTTTGTTACTGATATTTCTACACGTGTTTCAATCAACAAGGCATTGCAATGCAATGCATCCACAGCTTCATAATAATTAACAGAGAGAAAACATTTATGTCCTCTATTTTAAAATTTTGTTAACTACTTGTGTCAAGAACAACAAAAACAATACTTGTGTTACCTTACCATTAGTGGGAAGGTACAAAAATAATTTTGCAGTAAATAAAACTAAGCAGTGATTGAAATGATTGAAAAGGCTGTCCGAATACGCTCCATTAGATATGTACACGATGTACTCATCGCTATCTATCGGTTGCTCCCACTCAAACACTCACCAATGTACTCATTCTCAAAGGCTCTGTCTATACCTTTTATTCATGAGCAGATAAAGATGAAACTGGGCTAACTATTTGATGTCTCCCCCCGGCTCATGGCTTCTTCGGGGGCTGGCTTTTTCATGGGGGATTCATAGATACGTGTCGATTAGTTCATATGTTGATCTGTGTTGTGATAGTGACAACTGCATAATATATAGTGTTAAAGTAGATCCTCTCTTAAGAAGCCACACAAAACACGTGAAATGACAAGCAATTAATGCCAAGAACAGTTCATGTAAGACACCTGATTAAGTACAAAGAACTATTAAAAGTACACGTGACTTTTCTCATTTACGGGCAATGTCGAATCGGTGTCACATTGTTTGCAATAATTAAATAGATTATCATGTCTAAGTCAAATCAGGCTTATATATAAAAATGTAAATTAAAAAGTGAATTGCATTTTTTGTACAATAGTAAAATATTAAAAATCGTTCTAGGACAGGTGGGTGTAATATATGCGAAAACTCATGAATTGAATATCTGCATAAATATCTTTGACATTTACACACATACTTTAGTAAATTGATTTCATTCACGCATACTTTTACTCAATTAATACCGCGGGAAAATCTGTCACACAAATTA